CCTTTCTGTAGTGAATGCCCTCACACATTTAATTTCTTCTTGATAAAATGTTTTAGCCATGATCTCAAAACAATTGAAACGTGATTTAATTGTCAACATCATAATGGTAAGAATTAGGTTATCCTTTTAGATCTATATGTAGCTATTTTGTTTATTTATTCTCTAAAGATTATTATTTCCGGGACAGTTAGGACCTACTACACATCTCAGGTAAGAGGGTCTGCATGGGGGGGTCCTCATTACGCTTTACGCTAAATTTGTGGAGGCTCGCAACGCTTTACATTAAATTCCGGGAGGCCGGCAATGCTTTACGCTTAATTCTGGCGCTTCGCTACGAATAACGCTAAATTCAAGTTGGTGTTGCAACGTTGACTGATCAAATTCACCGACAACGTCGTAAACAATAGCTGTGACGTACACCTTGCAATGAAGCGCGCATGCAAGGTACTTCATACAGCATTCATAATTTGGTACATAACGTAACCCACTTTAGAACATTCACTTCACCAACCGGTACCTGCATCTAAACTCGTATCACCGGCGGATCCAGAAATTTATGAACGGCGGGGGGGCGCACCACCGTGGCCGAAGGCCACGTAAGCGCGACGCGTCAGCGCGGGGGGAAGAGCACGAGAGGGGGGTTTCCCCCCTCTCGTTGGGGGAGCCTCCCCCTGGAAATGTTTTTAAGGTCTCGGACCGGAGTTTCCCTCCGTATTTCGAGCAATTTGACACCCTCAGCCCGACGGGCTGTCATTTCTGTACTAAACGCGGGTCGGAATTTTTCACTCTTTTGGTGGAAAGGGGTGCCGTGCCGCTTATCAATACGCTTGATTGATATTTTCTGCGCCCAATTTATTTAGGGGTAAATAAGGCACATCAAAGTACATTTTTAAAAAAGGGGTATTTTTTTCGTCATTTTTAACCACGGCTGCATGGAAAAAACGAATTTTCCCAGGGTAACGGCTTAGTACTCGAAGAAGCTCAGAACCTAATGTTTCCAAAATTTGAATTTAATTAAAATCGATGCGATAAGTTTATCGCTATCTTCAATGGCCCGAACACACCCATAACGCATATAGAACGTACAATCCCGGCGGTCAGGCGAAAAGGCCACATAACCATCCGCGCGGACGAATACCAGGAAGTCTTCGCTGGACCATCAACATTACGCCACCTATAAAGGCTACAACGAACAGGCTTTTCAGAAAATACAAATATATGTACACAGATATTACGATTTCAGGGATATCGCGGCCAAAACATACCATTCAAAGTCACGTTTCCGGCGATTTACTGCGCACTTACTTAGACTCTGGTCAGAATTAAACTCCGACCCGGAACCTTAAATTGAGAGGCTCTCTGGTGTATTCAGTTAGAGCCCGATTTCTGAGCAACTAACCAACGAACTAATACTGATTTTGTTTCGGCACATTCATATGCCCATCGGTACATTTTACGACTCACTCACTCTCACTCACTCAGTCCTCTTGCACGATGTGCGTCGAGCCTAACGTTACATTTTACGACTGAGAAAATAAAATACATGCATTGTAAATATGTTTGTAAATTTCTCGAAACTCCACTGATGTCATGGGTGCTCTCGTGTCCAGATTAGACAATAGAAATCCTGGGTACGACGTTGACCCAACAGGTCATCCGCTGGTTGCTGGTTCGTCCGCTACGGCTTACGAAAAATGGGAGTCCAGACTACGATTTACGGGGAATTTTTAGGCTCGATTACGCTTTACGTGAAATGCGCTGGCTACGCTTTACGGGAAATTTTCGCCTCCTCACTACGAATTACGGTAAATAAAATAACTTCCCTACGAATTACGGGAAATTAAAAAGGCCCCCCTACGCCTTACGGAAAAGAGCATGCAGACCCTCAGGTAAGCCTCTGTCACACGTAGTGTAATATGGTCTCCCAAACACTAACACGAACTCCCCCCAACCATGGTTAGGAGTAGGTCGGGAGCAAGGTCGGCTGGTGTTCGGCCAGGTTGGCTACTGTTCGACTGCGTCAGTCGGGTGTGGACGGAAGGTTCAGCCACTGTTAAACTAGCTGGTGGCTGGCTGGTGTTTTGAAGTAGGTCAAATTTAACCCAAATTCTATTCGAGTCGTATAGAAAGCTAGGTGCTAGGTCGTCTGGTGTTCGGGGAAGGGTTCTGAATGTGTGACAGGGCTTTGCACACGCCATGTTCTATATGAGGAAGAGTGAAGATGTGTTTCCTTGTGAAGTAATAACAATTACAACTGTTCTGTATTTAACCACTGATGACAAACACAACTTTAACCTTGCTGCACATATTCCAGTCTTATCGCAACCAATGTACTGTTCAAACATATGTATGATTTTTATGACAGATGTCCATTCGTAGTGAATGCAAAAAAAAAAAACTCGAACAATTCTTAGGTTTCTTTCAATGAATGTCCCCTCCCCCCTCCCCACAGTTTGAGCACAACTGAGTCCTTGTCCGTGTAATGGTGCAGAAAATGTGCTCAGGTTAATCGGAAAATTACTGACCTGAGAGTATGACGACACAAGGAAACGACCTCCAGAAACCTCCAACTTATAATTTGGCCGTTGATTTTTTCATGAAAAAAGATTTGTTCAAACAAACAAAGAAACGAGAGGACGTCGAACCCACCCACGAGATTCTAGTGCTCACACTTGCTTGTAAATATGTATCTTAAATTCTCCTATTTTTGGCGACGCCTTTGGGGCGGAGGCATTTGTGTAAGTACTACGATCGCTTTGAAAGAATTTCAAAAATTGCACGAATGCATTCCCCAGGGAATTGGTTTGGAGGAAACCTTCGGCCATGTGGTTTTTGGATCAAGCAGGTAACTTACACCGGATGCCCACGTGCCACCCATCCAGCTGCCTGGCATGATTAATTACTGGTCATCAGTCTTCTCCCCACACCATGGACAGAGAGCACAGCTGTCTTTGGCCAAAGACCATATTCAAACAGGTCACAGAGAGAAAAGAAATTGTCCTTTTGGAACCCACAAAAGGTAAAAAAAGTCAAAGGAGTAACAACTTCAGAGTTCAGACCAGACATAAAATCCAGTCTCTTGTGAAGAGGAGGATGGTTTTAAGTTTGGTTCTAGCGGGAACTCGACCAAAGTAAAGTAAGTAAGTATGTCATCATAAAATCTATATTACTGGGGAAGAACGGCTGATTCCTCCTATTCGTGTATTTGTTATATTGCCCCACACCTCCTCCACCCAGCCTGTAAATTTCACTACATGCATGTCTTTATAACATAGAGAAATATGTTTTTCTGATAATTGTAATGCAGATTGCTAGCTCCACCACATGAAATAATATATATCATTCAGTCGTCGCCTTGGCAATGATTTTTATTGCCTCAGCCTTGTTGTATGTGTGACCTGTATTTAGCCCAGTGGGTCATGGGACAGATATGTACAACACAGCCCGCATTCATTTCTTTCCTCTAAAGAGCTTTCAGACAATTACGTCACAAGGATTGCACAACATACCGGTTATTTGAACCTAATACTTTGAATATATTTAATACATACTAATGTATCTTCTCAATATTGTCAAAGGATGCCTACACACACAGACTACGTAAGTACGAACTGAATCAGCAAATGCTTTCTTACTCTTGCAGGTATTATTACTAAAATCCGACGGTGAGGGTCGACAGCTGACGTCTGCTTTGTGGAATGCGCTTGAAGCCCGCGCTGTTTTTGGAACGAAAACGACGCCTCTGATGAGGAAGCTCATTACGTCCCCGAAATTGATAACAAGTTATATACGGACAGAAAGTAGAGGCTATTTTACGCACTAGATTTCTTTTTGTTTTGAAAACTGAAATAAGGTAAAAACACAGGAGGAATTTCCACCAAAATCAAGTGTTTTCAGGTCATATTATCAAAAGAGTAGAGGTTAACAATCGTTTAAAAAAGTCACTAGGAGTAAAATAGGAAGCTAATATTCACAGATACAAGGAAATAATGAAGATACATACTTTTTATAAACTCAAGCAACAAGCTTTGTAGTAAGAAGTCCCGACTCCCGGGTGTATATTATACAACATAAAATTGTCTCAAAACCGTGGGGGTCAATCATAAATCTTAAGGTCAGATTTAAATCGCTTCGGATCTGTGAATTGACTTGAAACTCGGAATCCATACACGAGAGACCATTGCTAACAATTCTACATGAAAATTTGCTTTGTACGGAGCGAGGACCTGTCCAGAGTAGGTGATAACTAAAAATGTCAAACCGGGCGCGTTCTATTCTGGAATCAAAATTATGACATGACCTCGAGCGTTTTGGGGGCATCTGCATGTCGCCTTCGAAATCTATAATACGTTATATATCAACACAAAGTAGAATCTTTGCTCTTTCATATACGCTAGATTTCCTATTGGATCAAAATCTACAACAAGTTAGAAATTGCACGTTATCACTGATTCTATCGGTTACATGTCTCTTTCCTTTAATTGTTTTGATACTAGTATTCATAATGATATGCCAAAAGGCAGTTACTCAAGCAACTGGATATGACTTTGAATTTTGAACTCAGTTGCTTGAGTAACTGCTTTTTGGCGTATCGTATTACCTGGATGTCTAACCTTCATCGACGTATTCATAATGATTGTCGAAAGGTCAAACACACTGTGTTGGTATCTTGCTTCATGGCTGACTCTTACAACAGCTAACAACAGTGAACAAACCCTACTTTTGACCTAATTTTCTCATGTATCCATCCGCCCTGGGCAGGAAAGACCTCATCACTCATGTCTCTCAGTATGCCCACTAAACTGGTGAAATGGACAAAATCTGACCAAAGTAGGAAAGTTTACACTACTTGTTCCTTCTAGCCCAAAAATCTCCAAGCTGAACCAAAATGTTCAAGAGAAAAAAAGGATTTTTGAAGATATTAACTAGGAACTACTGCGCAACGCAATAGTGATGTCTGCCCTTCAGCACCTGCTATATAGCTTTCCTACAAGTGCCACCTAGCGTTTCTTAACTGAACAGCAGATAGCTATAGCTTGTATGGCGCGCGTGGAGTCCGGGGGTTTATGAGCGATGCAGGTCATGTCCACTGCTCGGGTCCCGAGTATGGGGGCTCCCTCAGAACCTCTGGTACTGCATCCGGTGAGCACAGAACCTACATGACATCTTGCAACAACCTGGTAAAACAAACACAGAAGTTTAAAATTTACAAACAGAAGTTCTTAGAGATTGAAAACATGTATTTTACCAACTCGCATATTAAGCTGTTAACAAGTTTTCTGGAAATTTTGCAAACAATGCAAATCTGCTCATGATACAGAAAGATTTAGTTCTTACCTCATCGTCCAGAGAAAACTGTGAGCGGACTTTCCAGCAGTCCATATGGTTCCCTCGGCAACAGAAGGCGTGTGCTTCGGGCCTCTTCCCTCGGGCAAGACACTCCTGACCACGTATGTGCCGCACCACACCGCCGTCTCCAGACACACTACAGCCTGAGAGCAACCAGGAAAGGAACAGAAGTTAGATACACATCTTGGTACTTTTTTTGCTGTCTGTTGATGTTTTGTTGCATGCAATATTTTGTAATTCTTTGCCAATAGAACATTAAAATATGACATTCTTATACATGTTCCTATCATGGAGCTTAAAATCTAGATTTTAAGTTTTCTTGTTCCTGTATATACCAAATTTGTGATATGTTGGATGTCTACGTAAAAGTACCAGTGTGATTCCCAAACCTGTCAAAGGCACCCATGCCTCTTCCCTCTTGTCTTCAGCCAAAGATTTATGTCTACGATAAGTAACTAACCTGTTAGGACATCTCTGGGGTTTTGGTCACACTTGGCGAGAGCACTGATGGCTTTTTTGTTGGATGGCTTCTGTGTCTTGATGTAGCATTTGAGACTGCCTGGTAGCACACAGCAGCGCGCAAGTGCATAGACACTGGATCCGGCCTTCGCGTTCTCAGCGACACAAATCGGTTTGCCGTTCTGGATGTTCTGAAAACAAAATGGAGGAGGGAAGACATGGATTGTCAATATTTCAAGTCAATGCAAGTAGATTTGCAAAAATCCTAAGATCTGGACCTGTCTATTTTCTTCGGATAGGTGGATTTCACCCAACTTACTTAATAAACATCTTCTGAGTTGCGCAAAATAAAGCTTTGAAGAGTTCCCAAGAGAGATGTCAGCCTTGTCAGTTGCTCCCCCCCCCCTCATAAAGGCTAGGGGCAGTGGGTTTTGCTAGGGTCAGTCGAGAAACCACATTTTTCATAAGCCTTAACGTTACCTCTGTGAACTCGCCGGTATGGACGCCGTCTGTGACAGAGGCGCAGCTCAGCAGGGTCTCGTTCACGTTACAAGCCGCGGAGGCAACAGAGCCTTCCTCTCGGTCTGATTGTAGCGACCACACCGTTCTACAAGCCGCTGTTTCTATAGTAACCGACAGAAAGAACAGGAATACCAAGAAAGTAAGAGAAATTATTGGTCATACTGTCATAGCTTGTACACGATCATTAAAAAACTGGACATACGACTAAGATATAACTGTAGAGAGATACAAGGTCCTTGGATTCAAAATTAAACCATAAAAACTGACCCTTCAGTGGTACTGTAGGAACTTGCAGGAGTTTGTTGGGTGTCTTCAGTCTTGCGTCATCGGGAAGTGTGGAAAAGTCGAGCTTGTTCTTCGCGGCTGTGGACAGGAGCGCCAGGCGGATCTGCGCAGGCGTCAAGCTTGGATCACGTGACAGCAGTTTCGTCACCACACCTTATGAGAAAGAAAACTTAATATATACAGACTCTGATATATGCTTGAAATGTACATATATATATATANATATATATATATATATATATATATATATATATATATATATATATATATATATATATATATATATATATATATATATATAAAGAGAGAGAGAGATGGATAGATAGATGGATGTCACTCAACCTTGTTGAAAAGTGCCACATTGGCCGACACAAGGCATCGAGCTGACTAAAGTCTTTCTTTATTCTCGATGCCTTGTGTCGGCCAATGTATGTTCCATTCAAATTTGAAAATTTTCATGGAATATACATTTTTACATTCATGTTTTGAATTCCTAAGTCTTGAGTAAGTACCGATGGCAAAATGAGACATGAACAGGAGCTACCTGCTGTTATGGGCGCTGCCTGTGATGTCCCACTACGGACATCGCTGCAGTTGTTACAACTTTGACTTTTCACGTCTGCACTCCACACCTCCTGCGCAGGCGCGAAGATGTCAACGCAGCTTCCGTATGAAGTAGCACCACCTCCTTCTTCAGTCCGATCGTACAGTCCGTCAGTTATCCTTGTGCCGCCAACAGTGATCACCTGTATGTTGGAATTGTTATGACAATGAGAAGTCTTGCTACTGGTAGTCATAGATTATTAACCACATGTATTAACTAATAAACCGGATGGGTGATGCAGACTGGCAGGAAGACTTCCTTGTACCCGCACTGACACTAGGCCCAAAGGCCATGTCACTCTACAGTACATTGCAGGCATAACTGAGGCCATCAACAGAGAGATAAGGAAATCAGGGGTACAGTAGAGAGATAAGGAAATCAGGGGTACAGTAGAGAGATAAGGAAATCAGGGGTACAGTAGAGAGATAAGGAAATCAGGGGTACAGTAGAGAGATAGGGAAATCAGGGGTACAGTAGAGAGATAGGGAAATCAGGGGTACAGTAGAGAGATAGGGAAATCAGGGGTACAGTAGAGAGATAGGGAAATCAGGGGTACAGTAGAGAGATAAGGAAATCAGGGGTACAGTAGAGAGATAACGAAATCCGGGGTACAGTAGAGACATAGGGAAATCAGGGGTACAGTAGAGAGATAGGGAAATCAGGCGTACAGTAGAGAGATAGGGAAATCAGGGGTACAGTAGAGAGATAAGGAAATCAGGGGTACAGTAGAGACATAGGGAAATCAGGGGTACAGTAGAGAGATAGGGAAATCAGGGGTACAGTAGAGAGATAAGGAAATCAGGGGTACAGTAGAGAGATAAGGAAAGCAGGTATCCACATGCACAGTAGACATCACATTACTATACTTCCCTCTATGGCAAGTGGCCTCAGGAATCATCACAGTTAAACATTTCTCACAATATCGGCCGAAATGGTCACAAAATTTCTCACAATGATCGTCACGTGACTGACAACAACAGCCCCACTCTGCCCCACTCATACGAGAAATAAGGAATTGTGATAAGCTAAAAACGTATTCCCAAGTAAAAACTGACTTCACATTTGAAAATTACCTTTCATCAATCCGTAAGAAAGCCTTTATAGTTAAGATTTATTTAACAAATTAAGAATCAGTTCGCACAATTTAGCAATAGAAAAAGGTCGGTATAGTAATGTGCCAGCTAACCAGAGACAATGTCCCTCATCTCAAGAAAGTGTTGAAGATGAATATCATTCCATAATGACCTGTCCTACATATACTTTAGATAGACAAAAATTAATGAAAATGATCACATGTGAAACTGGTAAACCTCTCCCAAAGACAAAAATAGACATTTTCAATCTACTTATGTCATGTGTCCCGAGTCCATATCTACGTATTTAGGCCAATATATATGCAGTGCATTACAAAAAAGAGAAAGTATTGTAACAGATAGCAACGCCTAACGCACATCATGTCATAAGCCATTTTTCATTCATACTCCTGTAGTAATACTAGTAGTCTCTTAGAATAGACTTGATTGTATCGATCACATTGTTATTGATGCCATACATTGTGCCATGTACAACTGTCGAGCAATAAAGTTCATTCATTCGTTCATTCATACGTTACCTCTGCCTCCCTGGCAGGAGAGTGGTTACACGCGTCGTCCCCATAATTCCCCGCGGCCACCACCACGGGAAGACCCAGCAGTACCAACCTTCGGGACGCCTTGTCAACTGACGGGGATCCTCCTGTTGAGGGAGGTATTACAAGACTACGTACTCAAGTTTCCCAAGTCAAGAGTGTTTTTTTTTTAATTGGGACAAATTTAAAGGTAGTACAGTGTGTCTTGGGGTCTTGAATGAAGACAGCAGCCATATATAGCATGTTGCAGAACATATTGCGCCTATGGGAAAGTCAACAAGTGGATAAATCAAGAAACTAACTGGATAAATTTTCCAAAAATTCTCAGTCACTGAGGAAAGTTAATGGATGCTATCTGAAACGTCTGACTTTCTGAGAATTCATCCAGTTGCTTGGAAGGAGGGAACTTTGCGTCACATGTTAATGATACAGTCAAACTTGTGCAAGCGACCACCTTTTTGTAAAAAAAGACCACTTCTATTCAGTCTCCATCTTAGACAAGTTTGACTGTATATTCAATATGTATTACCTCTGGATGTCAGGGACATAACGACGACCCCACGGGCTCCACTGTTCGATGATACCCTGCCGATGTGGTTGAGTCCGCGCAGCACACTGGACGTGCCTCCGCCCGTGCTGTCGAGAACCCGCACGCTTCTCAGCAGAACTCGCGGGTTCACGCCGAATGTCCTGCCGCCCACGAGAGCGGCAACGTGCGTTCCGTGGCCTTCCAAGTCGTTGCCCTAAAAGAGAAGACGAGTTGATGGGTGACCATGGGCGTTTGGACTATTGGCAGCCATTGTGTGATAGATCCATTTTTGGTACGGGGGATGTGGTGAAGTCATTTGCTGCATTTGCTCTTGAGCAAATGTCGGCGTTTCTAGCTATATAAGTAGCCTTGATGTTAGGCATGGTGGTTCAAGAAGCCGCTTTTACGAATCACTGGCTTGCTACAAAGTTGTTCTGATCACAACAGAAGGGAAATTGTTTATTTCACCTTGTTCGAGCCGTCGGCGTCATGAGCGTCGAAGCCAGACCAGACAGCGCGACCCTCAAATTCTTCATGGGTGTAACGTATTCCAGAGTCAACGATGTACACGTCCACACTGTCTGTGATGGCAGAGTGAAAACAACAACAACAAAACCAACATATTACCCAGTACAATTCCTTTTACATAAAGGACAGAAAGCCAAGAACACGGTAATACTCCAAAACAAAAGACCAGGTATCATTGCAAAGATAGCGGACTTGCCATATACCAACCTCACAAGGGAAACAATTATCAGCACCATTTGGAACGTAGGACATCGGTTTGTATTGCTCTTATTGAACATTCTTGACTTCCTACTTTATTTACTTAATCGCATTGGTTTGGTACCTCAAAATCAAACAAGTTTTAAACCTTCTTTTTTTTAACGGTGTCGCTCAATGCAAGGCCATTTGGCCACTTCTAGGCATAGAGCTAGCCTGTAACTGTAGCAGTAACTCTTCTCCCTGAGTCAGAAACATCATCACAAGTAGTGATGACTAACTGACCCACTAGGAGAAGCAGGGGTTACGAGGCTGGTCGGGAAAATTCCCTACCCCTTTTTTGACCATAATGGTTTGTTCCACTTCCGCTCACGTGGGTTCTTTAACGTGCTTGAGGTGTGTCTCCCCTCAAACACGGGACTTCCATTTTAACGTCCCATCCGATAAGACGCCCCTAACCGAAGCTAGGTACTCATTTTCACCTGAGTGAAGTGAGGAAAATCGTGTAAAGTACCTTTCCCAAGGGTACAACGTCGCGGCGCATGTTCGGACTTGTTCGGGTACGACCCGGAATCGAACCCGAGTCTCCCCGTTTAACAGTCCTGTGATGTACCACTACGCCACATAATTTTGATTTAAACTTAGATTAATGATATACATGTACTTCTTGATCCATCACAATGATTATTCTAAGTCATGTACATGTAACATATGATGTGCATGTATATAGTACGATTAATGTACAATGTACACTTACTGCATCTCGAAATGTTGCAATAGTCCCATCTCTTGTCAGGGTCCGTGGTGTAACACCATGGCCGCACAGCAAGCTTGAATGGTGGATTTCTGCAGAAGTTCCTGGCTAATTTGAGGGTAGGAAACATCTTATGGTAGCGGTGATAGTGAGGCAATTGACTGTCCCAGCGCTGACACGTGTAGCCTGAATGGGTGACAGACATCGAGCCGCGGTAGGACGCACCGTTACCAAGGAGGCAATCATCTACGGACGAAATCGAAAATGGAAAATTTTGTTTAATCAACAGAGATCTGGTAGTTTACTGATCAATATCAACATCTACTGCCATAGGATAATGCTGAGCAGCCACAGAGGAAGGAGTACAAACCCCCGTTTTTCCGACAGAGGACAAAAAACCTAATGCTCCGCTTCGGGCTCTGCCAAAAATAGGCAACTGTTTATAGAGAGAGAGAGAGAAAGAGAAAAAGAGAAAGAAAGAAAGACAAAAGAAAAACAATGATTCAAACAACCAAAGGTTATAGAGACCTGTATTTCTGTAGTCCACACAGCCCTGACAGTCACAGTGATCTGTAGTGTTGCCGCACCAGTTGTGAGGGGAGCAGCACGGGTACATACTGTCCGGGTCACACTCAGCGGGTCTGCCGTCTTCTGCGGGGTAGCCGTGTTCGCAACGCAAGTCTTCTCGCCATCTCTTAGGAGCTATGGGAATAAACACGGGTAAAACATTCAATAGTCCGCATTTCAAAATTTCTTAGAAGCATGATTCTTCTCAACATCTCAACGACGAGAATTTGGAGACCTCAGATCTCCATAAGATCTGCTTTGAGATTACTGCTGGCTAGGTTTAGGTGCACACTTACCTAATGATATCTGGCAAATGAAATAATCCTTTTCATTACAGTTGTCATCATCCCAGAGGAATCCCCGGGCGGCCCAAAGCTGCCCGCAGTTTTGGCTCCCTAGCTGGCCACTATTGTTTGGTTCCCCTGCCGCCCAGTTGGCAAAGTCTCCTTCCCTCAGTCGGCTGCCGTCAAACCATACCCATCTACCTTCCCTCTGTTGACGATATATGGCCACACTGACTTAATTTTACAGAAGACATCCTATGGAGACACCAAAACTAACATGAGAGGGCAAAAAACATCACAGGAACCACAGGAGTATTAGCATGAATGTAGTCTTCTCAGCTATAGGCCCACACCAAACAACTAATAGCCTCCTTGGAGCAAGCTGTATGGTAAAATTAACTGTTTGATCTTCCTGTCATTCAGTTGTCAAAATCACCTCCCTCCCAGGTAACAATCATTTCAAACAGGGAGACAAAAAAAGTCAGTCACCCAGAACAAAACTTTTGTACCAGGAAGTAATAAGTGAAGAATAAATAAAGTATAGCCAGTATACCTTTTGGTCATTCAGGCCTATCCAGTAGTCTCGCCCAGGCTGCACGGCGCGGGCTGCACGGACTAGAAAGTTGTGTATAGCCTCGGTCCGGACGTCGGCAAGGTGCCCTCCGTCTGCGGCGCAAACCTCCCTGGCAGAGGCGTAGGTCCTGGCCTCGGAGTAGAGCTTGTAAAGTGTGGTTCCTTGCTTGATGTAGCCTAGAATATAATTATACATTATATGAATATATCTTTCTAAGTCCTGGATAGCCATGCTTTGTGTTGAAATAAATAAAGTTCAGCATTTTACTATGATTGTTACCAACAAAGATTAACTTCCATACTACAATGTACTAATCCAAATCAAAGACGTTATGTACAGTAAATGTACATAGGTTCATCGGAAGTCCTCTCGTCTTTTGGTGATGACAAATATATCAACCTATTCTACTTGTTCACATTACAATGAATATTCTCACCTGTATTCTCACCTGTAGCCGGTCAACAGGTACCCTGTGTGGGTAATGAGACCGCACTTCGGGTAGTTTCGGCGGTAGCAAATATATATATATATATATTTGACCGCCTGTCTCTGCCATTCTGACCGCATAAATCATTTGAGCCAGTCACACACACACACACACACACAGAGACAGACACACACACACACACACACACACACACACACACACACACACACACCACAAAAAGACAAATATGCCTGTCCTTGGTGCTGAATACTATCCACACATTTGCTGCTCATAACCACACATTTGACAACATTTTACAGAACTATAGCCTATAACTATAGAACTATAGCTAACTCCTTAATTTTCTGTATTAGATTTAGTCTGAAAAATATTTCAATTCCTGCCCCACTGATTCGTCAATACTAGAAAATAACACAACATCTGAACAAACGTGTTTCCAGGCAACATCAACCAAAGTATGGACATATTCAAATGTCAACTGTTCAATTTTGAAAGAATAGCCAGCATTTCAACTGTGTAGGACACCAACCTACCCTTCTGAAGTACAGTGGTTGATGCAGGACGTGGGGATTAAGTTTTCGTCATCGACCGTGACGTCACTTGTCAGGCCGCCAACACGTGCACGGTAACAGCCGACGTACACCTGCCTAGATACTGAACAAGATGGCGACTGATCTTTACAATTTAATAATGAATCATAAAGACGAAACAGTAGTATTAAAGTTGCCACTGTAAATATTCCGATGGGACTATGACTGCTCTGTTGCCGTATAGACGACAGAAACAGGTGGTTATCACAATAAGCTTAGATATGTACAAACAAAATTGCACGTGTATTGTACCGTTAACATTACAATTTCAATAAATCAAATCAAATCATATTAAAGAGTGCAGAAGCTATTTGTCTTGAGCATTGGCCAGTTGTTTAAGTTAGATCATTGTTGTCGCAAAACCTAACACATGTACCGTGCCTATAACACGTAATATTATACATGTTTTCGTCTATAAACACGAGACCCTTACCAAAGGCTGGCCGCTGACAGATGAATCTGTGTCTCCACCGACAGGGAACGTCGTTCCACTTGGAATCAGCTTTAACAACTGCACAGTCGCCGGCCTGGTTAGGCTTCCCTTCGGCCCAGGCTGTGAAGGAGTTCCGGTCCAGTTCTTCTCCATTGTTCCATCTCCACGTTCCTTCCTTCTCTCTATCCGTAAGTCCGATCCATAACTTTTCACCCGGGTTCAAGGACGTCAGTAACTTGAAGAGAAATTCATTGACGGCGCGGTTCCGGGGTTCAGCCAAGATCCCACCCTCTCCTTCGCAGACTGCCTCCGCAGTGCCGTACTTCTTAGCCTTGTCGAAGGCCTTGAAGCAGGCGTCACCGGATGGATGGTAACCGGCAGGGCACACCATGGCTTCAGAAACTGTAAAAAGACAGAAGAAAGAAATAGAAGATTTTAGACCCAATACTGTTTTGGGTATCCATTAATAGTTTGGATCTGTAGTGCCTCTATGAAGTATGATGAATAGCCAAATGAAGCACCTAGAAAGTTACAGTATATTAACGGATTACCAGCATGGATTCAGAGCCAAACGATCCACAGAAACACAGCTTATACTAACAGTCCATGACATAGCTGGCGCACTAAACAGTAAACGGCAGGTAGATTTAGCAATACTTGATTTCACTAAAGCCTTTGATAAAGTCCCCCCATGGCAGGCTCATCTCAAAACTGGAGTATTATGGAATCCAAGGCCCTACGCTGAATTGGTTAAAGGCTTTCCTGGCCAACAGGGAGCAAACAGTAGTGGTTGAAGGGAAGGCGTCGGCTCCAGTTAAAGTAGCGTCTGGGGTCCCTCAAGGAACCGTCCTGGGGCCATTGCTCTTTCTCTTGTATATAAATGACCTACCAGATCAGCTTGACTCTAATGTGAGGTTATTTGCCGATGACTGTCTATTGTATGTAGAGCTTTCTACACAGACCGACTCACAACTTCTCCAAAAAGACCTGAACACCCTGGAAGAATGGCAAAGCAAATGGCTCATGCAGTTTAATCCCGAAAAATGCTACATTATGCACATAACAAACAAACGAACACCACATGCAACTAGCTACCAGTTTTGTGGTCAGGCTTTAGCAACCACAAAACTCCATCCGTATCTGGGCGTCACGCTGACAAGCGGACTGAAGTGGGGTGCACATGTTAATAATATCACAACTAAGGCGAAACAGACATTGGGAGTGATTAAACGTAATCTGTGGGCATGTCCAACTAGAGTAAAATCACTTGCATACACGTCACTTGTAAGACCGAACCTAGAATACGCTGCGACAGTATGGGATCCATATACAAAGAAAGACAAAGACAAATTGGAAAGGGTACAGAATCAAGCTGCAAGATTCTGTATGAACAACTATGTAAGAGGTGCTAGTGTCACGGAAATGAAAAGAAACCTACAGTGGACCTCACTGGAAGACAGAAGAAAGATGTCTAGACTATGCATGATGTACAAAATGACTAATAAACTGGTGGATGTCCCAACTACTAAGTACCTAATACCAGCCCAGAAGAGAACAAGAAATAGCCACGCATTCAAGTACCAGAGTTATCAACCAAGGATTGAGGTGTTCAGGAATTCATTCTTTCCTAGAACTATCGCAGAGTGGAACTCACTGTCACCAAGTACAGTAGGGGCATTGTCAATAGATAGCTTTAAACAATGTCTAGAGCTAGAAGTTCAAGGGTTAGGTGTAACAAGTCGATCGGTGAAATATAGCCAGCTGCCGCCGCGCCGCGTGCCTGCGAAGCTGGTGTGTTACGCCGAAAGGCGGTTATACCGGCTATACAGATACAGACAGATGAAAGGGAAATACCCGATTGAATGATGTCATACGATAGATTACTACTCATACGATTGTATGGTGCAACTTCCTCTCTCGATTACATCACTGTTTTCGACCTTTTCACACATAATTCGCACGCACACACATACACACACACACACACACACACACACACACACACACACACACACACACACACACGCACGCACACACACACAACCACACACTCTGCCCCTGAAGTGATAACTTACCAAACTTGGGCTGGCGGTTGAACAGTCCGTCCAGTGGCAGGTCCTGCTGATCAATCCTGTCTAGATGCCAGGGGACCGCTGACTGCTTCTCAAACACCTGGTCTTCTTCTATGTACTCCACGTCCGGCATGGTTCTCATCTAGTTACAAATACGGAGGAAAGAATATAACTTGAATACTTTGTGCAAAAAGATATATACCACCGTGAGTTACAGCTACGAACACACAAACACAACCAAAAACATACCGTTCCGCGGAAGGATATCTCCTTCCCTGAGGGTAATAAAGGGAAAATATAACATGAGGTAGCAACAGAAAACACAGCCCATCCCCGAAGAAAACACTCAATATTTTCTATTAGTTTTAGCAAAAGTTTGGGGGTTTAGAATATCAGAAATTTTTACTCACAATCGAGACATCGCTAGGCGTCATTTCTGCGATGAATCCCTTGAGGATGTTCATGTTCATGTCCACAGGTTCCATGTGAAACATGTCGATGACGTCAGGGTGGCCGCGCCTGCGCCCCTCGCTCTGTGCCGACAGGACCGTGTATCTGTACTTCCCCATGACGTCTTGGACCGCGTCACTGCCTGATGTATCCTTCATGACGACGATGTATCTGCGAGTGAAAAAAAAAGAATAAAAAAATTTAACAGGCTCTCGTAGGGCATCAGGACGACTCAGACCATTACCAACTCAGCCCATTGCAAATCTGGGAACTCGTCCCACCGCCCTGGTCAACTCGTCCCACCGCCCTGGTCAACTCGTCCCACCGCCCTGGTCAACTCGTCCCACCGCCCTGGTCAACTCGTCCCACCGCCCTGGTCAACTCGCCCCACAACTAACCTGACACAAAATTGGGCTAAATAGCAACTTTATGACTCGAATCTGCACTTCCTTTTTCTCTCTTTTGAACTCTTGATAAGATGGCGTGACTGCATTTTTCTGCGGGAAAGTGTTCAGCTTACTGATCGGATGCAAAGATAAAAGCTGCGTCCTTTGCCCTTTCATAACTTTATACTCCACAGACATCTCTTTCACTGGAGTTAGGCGATTTCTATCACCAAACTGCTCATGCACTAGTATTATGGTTTATTCGCAAATTGACACAAAACTAAAACAACATTGCAACCTAATAATATATACAAGCAGTAGTCGGGTTATTACACAATAGACAAAACACTGTTCAGGGGTTTTGAGAGGTACGGAATGGCACTGTTCCTGTACCTACCAGATCTTATAGAAGATAGGCTAAGCTGGAACCCCCCTTTAAGTCCCTATTGTGCAATTCATTGTGTGTGTGTGTGTGTGTGTGTGTGTGAGTGTGTGTGTGTCTGTCTGTCTGTCTGTCTGTGTGTGTGTGTGTGTGTGTGTGTGTGTGTGTGTGTGTGTGTTTCCGCAACTTCGAGTTAACACATCTGAATGGAAAATGGTGTACACGATGCTCGATGCTAGAAGGCGCGTGACAAATGAGTGGGAGAGTCTGCGCCACCATGGAGTCGAAAAGAATGTTTCTATCGCTACCATACAGTGGGCAATATACATTAAAATGAACTCACCGTCCAGGTATCCGTGAGTTGTCGTCTGGTGCACGGTGCATGGGCCGCAGCCCGTCCCGTGCCATGTTGAAGCCGTCCACGGTGACATAGGACGGTAAGCCCGGGACGCGTCCAGCCACGCTCCGCGGCGGCCGCCTGCCATCCCCGAAGGAAACCAGAGAAGTCAACAGAAAAAACACGACGATGTAGTGGTAACAGATGTTCCCGCCTAGCATGTTTCGCGGTGTTTCCTAGCCACAATATCCCTGCAATGATTCTTAAAAATCTGCTCTGACCGCTGAGAAGTGTTAAATAAACTTGTTATATCTGAGGTATGGGAACAGGAACAGAAACCGTTTTATACTTGGCGTGGTACCAAGTATGTGCAAGTTCAGGCATGCAAAACGTATGAAATGCTGGTATTTGTAAGCCGAAAACATCCGAAATTGCGCAAGAGGGCGTTGACCCCTGACCCATTGGCCCACCCGGAAGTTCGCTGGCTGCGACCCGCGCGATCCCACCAGGCACGAGACGTTGATTGACGGCACATGTGGTTCACATCTGAACAGTTTCAAAGAATGCTGACACCCCTCTGTGTGAAAGGTCAGATCAGTGGTCGCGACCTCAATGGTGATTATACATGCAAAGGTCAAAAGCTGAGGCCCGACCAACACTGAAAGGGGTGTCCATCGGCGGTCTAAACGCATCATTTTCACGCACTAAAACACACATACTAAAAAACCAAAACAACGTGCACCATCTACAGCCCAACAGCAAAACGTATACCAAGTCCCAGACATATCCGTCCACCCAAACGCGAGAAACGGGTGCGAACGCAATTTTCGTCTTCCCTCACAAAACCTCCGCGCTCGGGATATACATCCCTACCCGGAGGTAATAATTTGCTGTCAACAATGGCAAGTTGGAACATATAGAAATGCAAGATAAGAACATGCGCACACGTGCATAAAACACACAAACACGCACAAACACACACAAATGCACACACACACACACACACACACACACACACACACATGCATACACAAATGCACACACACATACACACATTCATACACAAATGTACACACACACACAAGCGTTTATTTTTTGTATGCCAATATTACTATACTTGCTCTGTGTGTTCAGTTATTTGTTCAACCTTGCTGTACACTTAGATTCCATAATGAAGGCAACTTTTTACCCAACTCGTATCAGTTTTGTGGTGCTCATAAGAATGGTTTATTTGAAATTTGAAATTTCCACCACACATGTCACACTTGCTGTCCTAAGACTGAATTATGGTGACAGTACATACATACATTATCAGAGACTTATAACAATTATTACTAAAGGTTAAAGATTAAAAATTACAACTACACTTTATGTATAGTCGAAGTGTACAATGTATAATAAAATTAGTACAATGCGTTGGTGGACATTCGTGTGCTATATCAAATTATTAAAATCTAAAACCCATGAGCTGTCATCCATATAACCAAATCATTATGGCCTCATAAGTGGGTTTACGTGAAGTGTGATGCCCCCTATCTAATGTAAGCAGTACTGCGTGTAGTAGATATAGACTTATAAAGCAACATGTTTGACTCAGGGGTAAATCCTGTCAACAGAGATACTCACACGTGTAAACACACACACAAACACACGTATCCTAGTCAAACATGGCGTGTGATGCCCCCTATCTAATGTAAGCAGTACTGCGTGTCGTAGATATAGACTTATAAAGCAACATGTTTGACTCAGGGGTAAATACTGTCAACAGAGATACTCACACGTGTAAACACACACACAAACACACGTACCCTAGTCAAACATGACGTGTGATGCCCACTATTAACAGCGAGCAGATTATTATTGGAATGAGCAGAGCACTTTGGACTAATGCCTCTGATCATTTACAGATTAGAGGTACATATCCAATATTTTGTCAAAAACTTCTCTGTTACATAGCGGATCATAATGACCCCCAGTGGGGGTCTTCACGCTTCGTTAAAAATTGAAAAATCTCAATATTTTAGACGAAATCTTGAGATCTTATGAGACAATATTGAGATTTTTTATGACAATCTCCAGCTAGATCTTTCAGAAAATCTTAAGATGAAAAGAAAAGGTCTCAAGATCTTTCCAAATGGTTTCAAAGTATCTTGAGATTTTTCCATAGCATCTCGAGATGCTTGAAGAAATATCAAGATTTTTAAAGCAATATTGAAAAAACGTGAGATCTTTTAAACAATCTTGATATTTTTTAAAGCATCGGAAAAATCTCAAGATACTTTGAAAACATTTGGAAAGATCTTGAGACCTTTTGTTTTCATCTCAAGATTTTCTGAAAGATCTGGAGATTGTCATGAACAATCTCAAGATTGTCATATAAGATCTCAAGATTTCGTCTAAAATATTGAGATCTTTAGAATGAATCTTGAGATTTTTCAATTTTTAACGAAGCGTGAAGACCCCTACTGGGGGTCATTACGATCCGCTATGTAACAGAGAAGTTTGTGACAAAAGATTGGATATGTACCTCTAAACTGTAAATAGTCAGAGGCATTAGTCCAAAGTGCTCTGCTCATTCCAATAATAATCTGCTCGGTGTTTATTGTGGAATCCTTCAAGGGCAGCCTGCAGTACCAAGGGCCTGTACTGTGTCTCGATGCTAAGGCCATGTTGATTTGATTATATGGATGACATCCGCGCGCGCATGAATTTTCGGCCGTTTCCAAAAACAAAAGTTTTCAACCATACTGTAAATCGTACAAAACAGTTGCAAAATGAGCAAAAATGTACCATAAGTTACCAAAAAAATTAATAAAAACTATACCAATGTCGTAGAATGCCAAAATCAAACGAAAAAAGACGAAATTGTAAAGAAATGAACTTGAAGACTAGATTATTCGCCAAACCATATTCTGTGCCATTTGCTCAACCCTCATGACCACGTAGATTTCATAATGAAAGGACCTTTTTTTTTGCAAAACTTTTTTTTATTCGCACGCGCGCATCAGTTTTGGGGCTCCCGGAGGATGTCATCCATATAATCAAATCAACATGGCCTAATCAGCGGAAACTGATGTCAACATCAGCATTTAAAAACAGACTGTAGATTACTGCAGACTGTAGGACTGAACCTGGAAAATGAATGAACTAAATGTGCCTATACTGTGACTGTTTTGTACATGTAAATGTTTGTAACATTATTTGTATATTGCTGTGTTCAACTTGTGTAATTTTATATGAATGTAATTTTAATGTGTGCCCAGGGATACATGAAAATCAGATCAACGGATCTGAGGTATGCCCTGGTAAAATAAATAAAATAAACTTGTACAAAATAATAACATGCCAAGCTGATATATGAAATATAGTATCAACATGTGTATCAAGCGACATCACATTGCACAACATACCAGCTGTTTGAACCTAATGCTTTGAATAATATGTTTTTATACATTTTTCTCACTTTGAAGCTTCTGCTTGCTTCACAACATCATGAATAAAGATAGATCAAGTAAAAAATATTCACTAGTATGAAACCTATAAATGTGGGTGTGGACTTTCTCAATACGTGAATTGGTCTGGCATCATAAAGCAAGATTCGCGGAATTATTGATATAAAATTCTCTGCTCTGTCCATACATAAGACGTGCTGACAGTCATCGTACCACATTCTGCTGCGGGCACTGGTTAACTCGTTAGTAGCCTACATGGGAGGAGCCTGAGGTAATTCTATTTTATTCGTCTTAGTCTCATATAACTTCAAAAACCATGTAAAGTTATAACGCAAGGTGTCATTATCTTATATTGACAAAACTACTTGGCTATGTCATTTCCAACTTAGGGCCAGGTCATATTCGTTATACGATAATCTTTAAATAAATAAGGACATTCTTGGGACAGTCGTAAATATTTCGTGTTTAAAATCCCGCTGTCTTGTTACGGAAAAGCCTGTCTAAGACCCTTGTTGGCGGTGGGATCTGTCTCAGCTACAGCTTTTAATCGAAAATTCAACGATAGCAAAATCGTGCGACGGCCTACGATGCATATGAATGCGTGCGTGCGTGCGTGCGTGTGTGTGTTTGTGTGTGTGTGTGTGTTTATGTGTGTGTGTGTGTGTGTGTGTGTGTGTGTGTGTGTGTGTGTGTGTTTGCAACAAGATGAAAGCATGCTCCTTCTCTGTTAATATTCTCCATGAGATTGAAGAACAGCTTCTAGTCACCTATTATCTATTCTCTCAATTTTGGCCACTGCTCACTGTTTAAACGGCCTTTTTGAGGTTAAATGGAGACCACCATTCAATACGTACTAGTCCCCTTACCACATGTAGTGAAAGATGCCACGATCTTGTTTTCGGACTAGTAACAATCACGTTTCGTTTTGTGACTAGGAAAACAAAGATGGTGGTGATCTACGCAGCTCCATCGCCAACTCAAGAGTCAGAGAACCCGGCGGGAGGAGATGTCCCCGCGGCGTCTACGGAAGAGGCAGACAGTAACACCGATGGTGCTGCCTCTGGTACCACGGAAGAGACCGGCACTTTTGGTGATGGCACACGTCCTAAAGGCACCACAGAAGAGGCCACTGCCCCGGTTGGTGCAGTGGGCTCAAAGCCTGACAACATCAAACCGGAGGATGTTTACGGATACAACAAACCGGAGGATGTTTACGGACACAACAAACCGGAGGATGTTTACGGATACGACAAACCGGAGGATGTTTACGGACACAACAAACCGGAGGATGTTTGTGGACACAACAAACCGGAGGATGTTTGTGGACACAACAAACCGGAGGATGTTTACGGATACGACAAACCGGAGGATGTTTGCGGATACAACAAACCGGAAGATGTTTACGGACACAACAAACCTGAGGATGTTTACGGACACAACAAACCGGAGGATGTTTACAGCTACGACAAACCGGAGGATGTTTACGGACACAACAAACCGGAGGATGTTTGCGGACACAACAAACCGGATGATGTTTACGGACACAACAAACCGGAGGATGTTTACGGCTACGACAAACCGGAGGATGTTTACGGACACAACAAACCGGAGGATGTTTACGGACACAACAAACCGGAGGATGTTTACGGACACAAGAAACCGGAGGATGTTTACGGATACAACAAATCGGAGGAGGTTAGCTGTGCTTACAAGGCTAGAGGTACGTCAATATCATATCAAACACTAGAACGAAGTGCTGGCTATAGGAGATACTTTGAAGGCGAGTGGACAGAAATACAACACAATATGTATACTTATCACACTTTGATTATTATGCTATAATTCACATAACTCTCTATGGTTGGAATGGTAACGCTTTTGCTGCTCAATCTTACAAGACAATGCGGGCACCAGACAGCTATTTAGCTGATATCAATAATGTGCATATTACATACATACATTTAAGTTGTTTGCGTGTCTTGTGTTGTGTTGTGTTGTGTTGTGTTGTGTTGTGTTGGTTCCAGCATAGTTATAGACAGGTGTATCTGAAAACTCCCTCTTATAATATACTTATAGGTCTGCATAAAAAGGTTCAACAGAAATCACATGGAACGCTGAGACAGGCATATCTCTAATGTGTGTTTGTTATATACTATTATGTGTGCCAAGCAGGCATAAAATGGCGTAGAAATGCGTGAACAGTCACCATGTAAGTTGTTGTATGTGCCTCTTAAATAATTAGTAATTAATTGACTAACTTGTTTTTGTACCACGATCACGGTATCCTTTCTCCTCTAGTCTCCAGTTTAGCCGTTACTCGTAGGTATTCTGTCGTTCTCAGTACATGTCTAACCAAGTTAAATCTCTGCTAGCCGTTTGTGCCAATGTTACACTGAACAGATTTTACATATCAGTAATGTGATGTGTCGTAAACGTCGCCATTTGTTGATTGCAATTCGAGGATATCGTGATATGTGCTTTCCTCAGCTTTTCTATGGTATGGTGTTTCAGAGCGTGTGGTGGAGATGTGGGAGCAGTGTTAAACTCAGCGGCATGTTTTGGGTTTTCAGAACGTGTTGTGGAGATGTGGAACAGTGTTAAACTCAGCGACATGTTTTGGGTTTTCAGAACGTGTTGTGGAGATGTGGAACAGTGTTAAACTCAGCGGCATGTTTTGGGTTTTCAGAACGTGTTGTGGAGATGTGGAACAGTGTTAAACTCAGCGGCATGTTTTGTGTTTCAGAGCGTGTTGTGGAGATGTGGAACAGTGTTAAACTCAGCGGCATGTTTTGGGTTTTCAGAACGTGTTGTGGAACAGTGTTGAACTCAGCTGCATGTTTTGGGTTTTCAGAACGTGTTGTGGAGATGTGGAACAGTGTTAAACTCAGCGGAATGTTTTGGGTTTCAGAACGTGTTGTGGAGATGTGGAAAAAGTGTTAAACTCAGCGGCATGTTTGGGTTCGGACCGTGTTGTGGAGATGTGGAACAGTGTTAAACTCAGCGACATGTTTGGGGGTTTTCAGAACGTGTTGTGGAGATGTGGAACAGTGTTAAACTCAGCGACATGTTTTGGGTTTTCAGAGCGTGTTGTTGGAGATGTGGAACAGTGTTAAACTCAGCGGCATGTTTTGGGTTTTCAGAACGTGTTGTGGAACAGTGTTGAACTCAGCTGCATGTTTTGGGTTTTCAGAACGTGTTGTGGAGATGTGGAACAGTGTTAAACTCAGCGGCATGTTTTGGGTTTTCAGAGCGTGTTGTGGAGATGTGGAACAGTGTTAAACTCAGCGGCATGTTTTGGGTTTTCAGAACGTGTTGTGGAAAAGTGTTGAACTCAGCTGCATGTTTTGGGTTTTCAGAACGTGTTGTGGAGATGTGGAACAGTGTTAAACTCAGCGGCATGTTTTGTGTTTTCAGAGCGTGTTGTGGAGATGTGGAACAGTGTTAAACTCAGCTTCATGTTTTGGGTTTTCAGAAAATGTTGTGGAGATGTGGAACAGTGTTAAACTCAGCGGCATGTTTTGGGTTTTCAGAGCGTGTTGTGGAGATGTGGAACAGTGTTAAACTCAGCGTCAGGTTTTGGGTTTGCCTTGTCTGCGGCCTTCTGCTGGTGACGTCAGCTGTCACAGCTCCAATCCTCATCACGCATCTCCTTCCCGGAAGGGCGGTGAGACAGTCTTTTTTCTTATAATTTATGTCTTTGTTTAGGCCACATCAATCATTTGGTTCTCAGGTTCGCCCGCTTCTTTTTTTCAGAGTTGCCCTCCCAAAAAGGTTCTGAATAAATTCAACAATGGCCATATTTTGTCCCCAACAGTTGAAGAAAGCCCACTCCCCCCCGCAATAATATTATCTGCGGCACCTGACTTATTCTTTAAAGTACATATGTATTGGGTGGGAAACTGCTTAGTTAGTAACATTATAGATTATTGCTTTTTATCAATGAAATTATCGAAATTCGGGTTTCGATCTACAATAAAGTAATTTTCAGGGGGAGGCTATTGCTTTCAAGTCATCCAATGCAATTTCAGGGTGATAAAAGTGGATTTTGAAAGTCATTCTTTTCGTTTAAATGTAGTAAGTTGAAACAACCCTATCCAATAGCGTTCTGATATTCGTGAGACAAGAACACGATATCACTGACAAAAACACGACTGGTTGTTTTGTATCGTAGACTGATTCTAGCTATTTATTGGTGGTACCTAAAAATAAAGAGAGATAACTTGTTTTGGCCATTTCAAACGCCTCCAGTATGAAGTCATGACGAAAATGTGGTAGGAAATGGTAGGAAATGTCAATGTAATTTCTTCATTCAAAATATTTTTTGTTGTTTTTCTCGCCTTAAAATTACATCGGGTGCCTTTAAACTATATCGCAATCAAATGAAACAAGGCAAGATTTCATAAAAAAAAACAATTCAATTTTGCTCTGTAAAGATCTGATAACTGTATAGAAAGTAGTATTGAATGTATATTAAAAGTTGTTTGTATGTCAATGTTGATAACTGTATAGAAAGTAGTATTGAATGTATATTAAAAGTTGTTTGTATGCCAATGTAAAGGATAACAACGCCTTGATGACATCCTATATGAGGAATAGTGCAACTGTTGGCACTTCAACTTTACTCCCATCTGAGCCTCAGGGTACAACATCCTACAACAGGCTGCTACACAACGCCAGTTTCGACCTTTCACCCACCGACGACGTCGCGGGTACGCAGTGTTTTTTTTTTTTTGTTGTTGTTGTTTTTACTCAAGGCCATCTTGTTTGATTACATCCTCTGGGAACCCAAAACTGATGTGAACGTGTAAATAAAAATCTGTGGCCAAAAAAAAGTTGCTTTCATTATGTAATCTACGTGGTCATGAAGGATGAACAAATGACTAAACAGGATGGACAGGTATGGCGAATAATGGACTTCTCATTTTCGTTTCTTCACACTTTTTTTTCTTTTCCTTTGGAATTGATTGTATTTTTCGGCA